GGGACTAAGTAGTGCCACCTTGTGAGAGGGACTAAGTAGTGCCACCTTGTGAGAGGGACTGAGTGGTGCCATCTTGTGAGAGGGACTGAGTGGTGCCACCATGTGAGAGGGACTGAGTGGTGCCACCATGTGAGAGGGACTGAGTGGTGCCACATTTTGAGTGTGACTGAGTAGTGCCACCTTGTGAGAGAAATATAATCAAGACAAATTTTTGGTGAGGAAATTTCTGAAGTTGAAGTTCTAAAGGTAAATATAAGGGTTCCATTTTAGTACCAAGTGTGTGACAGGTTCAGTAATTATCAGTGTATCAGGGTAATTATCAGTGTATCAGGGTAATTATCAGTGTATCAGGGTAATTATCAGTGTATCAGGGTAATTATCAGTGTATCAGGGTAATTATCAGTGTATCAGTGTAATTATCAGTGTATCAGGGTAATTATCAGTGTATCAGGGTAATTATCAGTGTATCAGGGTAATTATCAGTGTATCAGGGTAATTATCAGTGTATCAGGGTAATTATCATGTATCAGGTAATTATCAGTGTATCATGTAATTATCAGTGTATCAGGGTAATTATCAGTGTATCAGGGTAATTATCAGTGTAATTATCAGTGTATCAGGGTAATTATCAGTGTATCAGGGTAATTATCAGTGTATCAGGGTAATTATCATGTATCAGGGTAATTATCATGTATCAGTGTAATTATCAGTGTATCAGGGTAATTATCAGTGTATCAGGGTAATTATCAGTGTATCAGTGTAATTATCAGTGTATCAGGTAATTATCAGTGTATCAGGGTAATTATCAGTGTATCAGGGTAATTATCAGTGTATCAGGGTAATTATCAGTGTATCAGGGTAATTATCAGTGTATCAGGTAATTATCAGTGTATCAGGGTAATTATCAGTGTACAGTGAAATTATCAGTGTATCAGGGTAATTATCAGTGTATCAGGGTAATTATCAGTGTATCAGGTAATTATCAGTGTATCAGGGTAATTATCAGTGTATCAGGGTAATTATCAGTGTATCAGGGTAATTATCAGTGTATCAGTGTAATTATCAGTGTATCAGGGTAATTATCAGTGTATCAGGTAATTATCAGTGTATCAGGGTAATTATCAGTGTATCAGGTAATTATCAGTGTATCAGGGTAATTATCAGTGATCAGGGTAATTATCAGTGTATCAGGGTAATTACAGTGTATCAGGGTAATTATCAGTGTATCAGTGCAATTATCAGTGTATCAGGGTAATTATCAGTGTATAAGGGTAATTATCAGTGTATCAGGGTAATTATCAGTGTATCAGGTAATTATCAGTGTATCAGGGTAATTATCATGTATCAGGGTAATTATCAGTGTGTCAGGGTAATTATCAGTGTATCAGGGTAATTATCAGTGTATCAGGGTAATTATCAGTGTATCAGGGTAATTATCAGTGTATCAGGGTAATTATCAGTGTATCAGGGTAATTATCAGTGTATCAGGGTAATTATCAGTGTATAAGGGTAATTATCAGTGTATCAGGGTAATTATCAGTGTATCAGGGTAATTATCAGTGTATCAGGGTAATTATCAGTGTATGAGGGTAAGGTCGACACTCACTAACAGTAACTCCAACAATGTTCTGGGTCTGGTTTTAGTGGCCGGGTTAGTTTTATGTAAAATACAAAACTTGTGTGGTGCCGCAGTTATGGTGATGTTATTAAGCTTATTGTAGGTGGCTAGTCTGAGTAGTAACTATTGAAGCTGCCACAGCTGTGTCGGTAGAGTATAGAGCTATATGTTTATCGCCTTTAGAATATAGAGCTCAAAGATTACTGTCTTTAATTAGAGTGTAGAGCATGAAGTTTACTGTCTTTAATTAGAAATTTTGCAAGTTTGCAATTGCATAGGAATTAAACACTAAAAATACTGAGAATACTTAAATGTTAAACTTCTGAGTGAGAATTTGCAGGAAGAGGAAAAAAATCCCAATTTGCAGGAGGGCCCCGCTTATACAGCGGGTTATGTTGCGGGCTACTGCCGTAAAGTAAATTTTTATTTTTTTTACTTTCAATGAATACAAATGCCTCATATGTTTGCCTTATCATATATTAAGTTAGCAATAAAACTAGGCATAAAAACAATAAAATGTAAAATGCACAGAGAGTACTCATTATTTACAATATTTCTAGTCTTAATTAATGTAGCGTGAGAAGTTAGTAGTATTTATTGTAGGTAGTCAGGTGTGGCAGCTAGTGTATTCTGTATTATACCTGGAGAGGGTTGCGGCCGGTCAACGCCCCTGCGGCCCGGTCTGTGACCTGGCCTCATAGTGGATCAGGGCCTGATCAACCAGGTTATTACTGTAAGCTGTATGTAAATCGACGTATGAACCACAGCCCAGCTGATCAGGTACTGACTTCAGGTGCCTGTCCAGCATCTATTGGTAATCCCCCTTATGTATGCTGGGAGGCAGTTGAACAGTCTTAGACCCTTGACACTTTTATTGTGTTGTCTCTCAGAGCACTCGTGGCGCCCCTGCTTTTCGTTGGGGGGGGGGGAATGTTGCACCGTCTGCCGAGTCTTTAACTTTCATAGGGAGTGATTTTCGTGTGCAACTTCGGTACTAATCGTCTAGGATTTTCCAAAACCTACTATATTATGTTTGGTAGCAGAGCAGGAGATGCACAAATTAACATTAAGATTGACAACACTCTAATTACCAGAAATAATGGGGGAAAATTCCTAGGCTTATACCTTGACAACAACCTGAATTTCAGCACCCATATCCAGCATATAGCCAAAAAAGTATCCAAAACGGTTGGGATCCTCTCCAAGATACGATACTGCGTGCCGCAAAATGCCCTTCTCACACTATACCACTCACTTATTTATCCATACCTCACCTATGCTATTTGTGCTTGGGGATCAACTGCAGCAACACACCTAAGCCAATAATAACCCAACAAAAAGCTGCAGTAAGAATAATCACTAAATCCCATCCCTGGCAACACACCCCCCCCCACTCTTCATAGATCTAAACTTACTCCCAGTTCAGTACATCCACACTTACTACTGTGCAATCTATATCTACAGGGCCTTAAACTCTAATATCAACCTTGACCTAAAACGCTTTCTTGATAGTTGTGACAGAACCCACAGGCATAACACCAGACACAAACATCTCTACGACATTCCCCGTGTCCGACTAAACCTTTACAAAAATTCAATGTATGTCAAAGGCCCTAAAATCTGGAATACCCTACCTGAGAACTCTAGAACTGCAGACACATTCATCACCTTCAAAACTACCATTAGAAAACATCTTATCTCCCTGATACACCCCATCAACTAACTACACGAATACCACCTGGTGGTTCACACTTACACTCACTCATTTGACCATAAACAGAAATATTAATCTCAGTCTTAAAATAATGAATCCTGTGATACTCCAATACTGAAACTGTGCCAAAACAAAAGCATTCACATTGCTAAACTCACAAACTAGTATTTAGTCACTTAGCCATAATACCAACTTACCTCATAATTTGTAATATTTTACAATTAAGAATAAAACTAAGTATGCCCGAAATGCCTAGCCATGCTAAGCGTTCTAGTGGTACACTCTGTAATCACAATTTTACTACATGTAAACCAAACAATAACCAAATTTCTGTAAACTCAGCATTGTAATCCTTATAGAGAATAAACTTTGAAGTGTATCTCCCGCCTGCATTCTAGGGAGTACAGGTTGAACTTGAAGCGTTCCCAGTGGTATGGTTTGAAAGGTACTGTTAGTGTGCAGCAATATTCCAGCCTAGACAGAACAAGTTACCTAAAGAGTGTCATCATGGGCCTGGCATCCATAGTTTTGAAGGTTCTCATTATCTATCCTGCCATTTTTCTAGCAGATGCGACTGATACAATGTTGTGGTCTTTGAAGGTCAGATCCTTTGACATTATGACTCCCAGGTCTTTTACATGAGTTTCTTGCTCTATTGTGTAGTTGGAATTTGTTTTGCACTCCGATATAGTTTTAATTTTCTCAAGTTTTCCATACCGGAGAAATTGAAATTTGTCATCACTGAACTTCACATTGTTTTCTGCGACCCATTTAAATATTTGGTTGATGTCACTGGAGCCTTGCAGTGTCTGCAATGTAAGACACTGTCTTGTAAATTCGGGTGTCATCTGCAAAGGAAGACACGGTGTTGTGGCTGACATCCTTGTCTATGTTGGATAAGAGGATGAGGAACAGGATGGGAGCGAATATTGTGCCTTGTGGAACACAGCTTTTCACAGTCGCCGCCTCGCGGGTTCTATCCCCGCCCGTGGTATGGTTTGTTTGCAATAGTGTCCTTACGATTTCGTGAATCTCGATTATAATTATTATTATTAATTATTATTATGGAGTCTTCAAGACTAGCGAGACACTCTTAGTGATTTTAATATACCTGCACACCAGCACGGTAAGTTTATTTAGCTACAGGTACGTAAGTATAAATATCAGAGAGTATATATAAAATACAAAATACCAGCCAACTCTGTAGTAGCACTAATCCATTCCCTAGATGGCTGCCAACTATTCGTGACTAACACACAGGTACCTATTTAATGCTAGGTAGACAGAGGCAACAGCTCCAACAAAACATGTCCAACGTCTATGCCAGCCTAGGCTCGAGTCTGGATCCCATAGTTTGATTGCTAGCACACTCAGCTCATACTCTGAGGTCCGTGGTTCGATCCCCATTATGGATGGAAACATTAGGGCGTGTTTCCTTAAGGCATCTGCTGTCCCAGTTTACCTGTCAGTAAAATAGGTACCTGAGAGTTAGTCAACTGGTGTGGGTCACATCCTGGGGAACAAGACTGAAGGACCACAATGGTAATAAGACAGTCCTCATTGATGCACTGATTTTCTTGGGTTAACCTGGATGGCTAACCCTCCGGGTTAAAAATCCAAACAAACTATCTTAAGGCAACTTTCACTACCTTTAGATGAGAGACTCACGGGTCGCTAGCAGGAAGATTGAGAGTGATGGAGCCTTGAACTGTACTGCCATACTGGAGGTAACCAAAGAAACCAACGCTGGCGTACAAGCACACTACCAGCATCATAGCGGTGTTCAGCACCCCAGTTAATCCACCAAACTCCCTGGGTGTTTTCATCTTGTTCTCCAGTGGCAACACCTGGGGAAAGCCACCAAGAACGGGGGAGATTTAATTCCCTGGTGAGAAAAACATACGAAGATGTAAATATAAATTGTCTTAAACAGGCAACTGACACGAGAATAATATATTTTATATATAAAAGAAGACAGATGTTTGTATAAGCCAGGAATCCCGGTCTGTGCCCTGATAACTGAACTATTTCCTTCAATATTCAGTTTTTATCAGTGACTTTAAAAATGTGTTATACGAGATCTTTCAAGAGAGAGAGAGAGAGAGAGAGAGAGAGAGAGAGAGAGAGAGAGAGAGAGAGAGAGAGAGAGAGAGAGAGAGAGAGAGAGAGAGAGAGAGAGAGAGAGAGGGGGAGAGAGAGAAAGTCTGAGAGAAAAGTGAGACAGGTTTAGTATTTCCTCATTTTTAATAGAAAAAAAATGTCTATCAATATAGAAAGAAATATATAATGATGATCTCTGACAAACATTAGTATATACCTGTGAATGATGAGACAACAAGACGGGCAGCAACAACACTCTGATTGTAACAGTAAGACAACAAGACGGACAGCAACTACACACTAACTGTAACAGTAAGACAACAAGGCAGGCAGTAACTTCACTCTGATTGTAACAGTAAGACAACAAGACGGAAAGCAACTACACACTGACTAACAGCAAGACAACAAGACGGGCAGGAACTACACACTGACTGCGACAGTAAGACAATAAAACGGGCAGCACCTACACTCTGACTGTGAAAGTAAGACAACAAGACGGGCAGGAACTACACGCTGACTGTGAGAGTAAGACAACAAGACGGGCAGCAACTACACGCTGACTGTAACAGTAAGACAAGACGGGCAGCAACTACAGTAACTAACAGTAAGACAGCAAGACGGGCACCAACTACACTCTGACTAACCTTCGCGAGAACATCACTTCAGAGTGACTCGAGTCTGGAACATGTTCGTGCAACATAGTGACATCCATCATAAATAATCACTTGACTAAATGAAATCACTGACCTACAGATGGCTCCAACTCCATCCTCTTCCCTATTTGTATCTATCGTAACAAAAAGGCTTTAAAACGGTTTTGAAAATAAAGTCTTTCATTACAAAAATCTTAACCTACATGATGTGTTAAGAAGACGATGTTCTGTAAAGAACATGATGTAACTGATATTATCCTGATGCCAAATGACTTCGAAAAGGCGATAAATGGAGAAGAAACATGAACACTGGGGTCCTCCCACTTCTGCTAAAAACAACAGACATAGCCGCACTCCACAAAGGTGGCAATAAAGTAACAGCAAAGAACTACAGACCGATAACGATAACATCGTATATCATAAAAATCTTTGGAAGGGTCCAAAGAAGCAAGATCGCCACTCATCCAGATACCCATCAGTTGCACAACCCAGGGCAACACAGGTTTAGAGCAAGTTGCTTCTGTCTCTCCCAACTACTGGACCACTATGACAAGGTCCTGGGTGCACTAGAAGACAGAGCACAGATGTAGTATACACAGACTTTGCAAAAGCCTTCGACAAGTGTGACCATGGTATTATAGCACACAAAATGCGTGCTAAAGGAATAACAGGTAAAAGTTGCTAGATGGATCTATAATTTCCTCACAAACAGAACACAAAGAGTAGTAGTCAATAGAGTAAAGTCTGAGGCGGCTACGGTGAAAAGCTCTGTTCCACAAGGCACAGTACTCGCTCCCATCTTGTTCCTCATCCTCATATCTGACATAGACAAGAATGTCAGCCACAGCACCGTGTCTTCCTTTGCAGATGACACCCGAATCTGCATGACAGTGTCTTCCATTGCAGACACTGCAAGGCTCCAGGCGGACATCAACCAAATCTTTCAGTGGGCTGCAGAAAACAATATGAAGTTCAACGATGAGAAATTTCAATTACTCAGATATGGTAAACATGAGGAAATTAAAACTATATCGGAGTATAAAACAAATTTCAACACAAAGCAAAAAGCTAATGTAAAAGACGTGGGAGTAATAATGTTAGTGGATCTCACTTTCAAAAACCATAACATTGTATCAATCGCATCTGCTAGAAAAATGACAGGATGGATAATGAGAACCTTCGAAACTAGGGATGCCAAGCCCATGATGACACTCTTCAGATCCCTTGTTCTATTTAGGCTGGAATATTGCTGCACCTTTCAAGGCAGGTGAAATTACTGACCTAGAAAATGTACAGAGAACCTTCACAGCACACACAACTGCGATAAGTCACCTCAATTACTGGGAACGCTTGAAGTTCCTCAATCTGTACTCCCTAGAATGCAGGTGAGAAATACATGATTATATACCCCTGGAAAATCCTAGAGCGACTAGTACCAAACTTGCACACGAAAATCATTCCCTATGAAATGAAAAGACTTAGCAGACGATGCAACATCCCCCCAATGGAAGTAGGGGGACATTTACTGACCAAATCTCATTAAACCTTTCCACTCAGCACCAGATTTGAAATCAAAGAGACATTAAGTTTGAAGCCACTAGACGATTGAAAGAAACATCAAGTTTGAAGCCATTAGGAAGTTGCATTATCCAGTTATTGTCCTTACGAAGTTTAAGAAACTCGGATGGTTGTCTTTACTGAGATACAACATGGGGAAGCAATGTCTGCTTTTACACAGTTTCTAGGCAAGGCAAGCCACGGAGAGTGGAAATCTTTAGCTCAAGTACTTTCACACTTCTCAGTGCGTCATCAGGAGCTATGCAGTTTCTTGTATATAAGAAACGTAAAGTGGGACCTAGACAACACAAATTCATTAGGTGGGTAAGCAGGTAGGTAGGTAAATAGGTAAGTAAATGCGTAGGTAAGTCAAGAGGCATGTACATAAGCAGATAGGTAAGTAGGTAGTTAGGTAAATAGGTTGTTAAGCAGGTAGGTAAGTTGGTAAGTAGTTATGTAAGCAGGTAAGTAATAATAGTAGAATTGCCAACAAAATGTTAGATAACTGGACACACAACTAATGTGACATTTGTTGACAAAGTTCCTGGAGAACAAAACGTTTCCTCTTTAAAAATGTCACAATTTGCATCTGTGACCATTTACCTAACAAGTAAGTAGGTAAGTGTACATGGTGTGGAGACTAGAATAATTAATATAAAAACATAGACAATATCCTAGTAATTTGCATTTTTTAGCGTTTTTATTCAGTTAAGTGTAAAGATATATACGGAGGTCGTATAGGGCAAACAAGAAACCTCAGAACCTAACCCGAGGAGGTTATGTCCCAACCCCCATACCCCCTTCCCTTTGTTCCTCACCCTCCCTAGCTTCCCACCCCTTCCAGTGCAGGGTTCACCCTGTACAACCATATCTTATCCTCAACTCCCCTACACCTCCTCTCCTCTTCCTGACACACGGACAAGAGCCAGAAGAACAGGATCCAGAGAACCCGAACAGATATCAGAAACTGAGAATGTTGCACATTAAACCAGATAGGATAACAAATAAAAGTGATGAATGAAAAGAGTGGATAGTGGAGGCATCCCCAGATATTGTAGCAATAACAGAAATCAACTTATGGAGATAACAGATGCAGTCTTCCAAGAAGGATATCAAATAAAGAGAAAGAACAGAGGAAACAGAGTTGTAGCACTGCAGATCAGGAAACATTGGATTTATGAGATAAACAGAATAAATTGAGAGGAATCGAATGACTACATAATAGATACTCGGACCTGGGGGATGCAAGGTAATAGCAGTAATATACAACCCACCACTCAACAGCAGGAGACCAAGACAGAAATATGATAACAGACTGATGGTAGGCAAGCAAAACTGTTAGTCATGGGAGACTTCAGTCGTAAAGAAATAAACTGGAAAAATTTGGAGCCATAATAATAAACAACTTTATTCCTTGACTGGTCCGAACCCTTGACTGGTCCGAACCCTTGACTGGTCCGAACCCTTGACTGGTTTCAAACGGTTTCGTTGGACAATAAAGCAGACTGTAAACGGATGGGGTTGTAGGCGCCCTTATAAACACAAACATCAAATATAAATCAGGAACGTGCACGGTGAGCTGTCCAATATACAAAAACAGTTAGAAACAGAAATACAAATAGCTAGAGCTTCATTTAAGGAGGTTATTAATAGAATATTCAAGAGGTTGCTAGTAGAATTGCAGTAAAGCAACCATTCAAATCATTATGAAGCTGTGTGTAGTCTGTGGTCTGTCAAACAAATGGGCTTCCACATGGGTAAATTGTCATTTTTGTGGAAATTGGTGTCACGCCCCTTGTGCAGATATCCAAGAACTAGCTACAAGCAGTGTTAAAACAGGGAAGTGTATTTGGGTATGCCCAAATGAGATAAATTGTGGACTAAAATCACAAGGGTATTAAAAGAGGATAACATCAAAGCTGCTTTCATAGAAAACCTGGACATAAATTCGTTAGAAAACATTCAGCGTAGGATGACTAAATTAATACATAGCATTAGAAATCTTCCTTATGAAGAAAGATTGAAGACTCTTAAGTTACATTCACTTGTTAGACGAAGAATGAGGGGAGACCTGATCGAAGTGTATAAGTGGAAGATAGGTATTAATAAAGGGGATATTAACAAGGTGTTGAGGATATCTCTCCAAGAGAGAACCCGCAGTAATGGATTTAAATTAGATAAGTTTAGATTTAGAAAGGACATAGGAAAGTATTGGTTTGGAAATAGGGTAGTTGATGAGTGGAACAGTCTACCTAGTTGGTTATTGAGGCTAGGACTTTGGGTAGTTTCAAATTTAGGTTGGATAAGTACATGAGTGGGAGGGGTTGGATTTGAGTGGGACTTGCACATCGGAGCTTGTTTCTTGGGTGGCATTGAAAATTGGGTTGGTCAAATGTTTGTTAGTGGGATGAATTGTAAAGGACCTGCCTAGTATGGGCCAACAGGCCTGCTGCAGTGTTCCTCCTTTCTTATGTTCTTATGTAACAGATGGGAACATAAAAAGTCTGGGCTGAATGGTACTGCCCTTGATACTGGCCATGTAGTCAGAAACTGTAAGGCTGGAGATGAAGTCCTGGTAGTCAGTAAATGTGGGGCTGATAGTGCTGTCCTGGGAGACAGTAATGGTGAAGCTGGAGGTGCTGTCCTGGGAGACAGTAATGGTGAAGCTGGAGGTGCTGTCCTGGGAGGCAGTAATGGTGAAGCTGGGGATGCTGTCCTGGGAGACAGTAATGGTGAAGCTGGAGTTTTTGTCCAGGTAGTCGGGAATTATACGCAGGAAGGAATACATATAAATGACCTCATAGGGGACAGGAGCCATAGTAGGGAAACAAGTGTAGTCAAAGATAAGATAAAACCAATATTGCACAAACTAGAAATACCGCAGGAAATAGCAAACAAGAGGACTCCACTAGCAATAGTGAGGATATATTACCAAAAACAACTGGTGGGAGCTCCATTGTTGGTGCTAGGGAGGATAGAAGTAAGACAGGGAAACATGCACCAACAGGGAATACAGTCACATGAAACCCAAGGCAAACGGAAACCAAGCCTGTGCACATACTATGCACTTGGTATCTGCTGGCATGGGAAATCTGGAAAAACAGATGGGACGTGCAACTATGACCACCCTAGAAAATGCCAATCCCATATGACAACAGAAAATGCAAACCCCTTCCTGTAAGCTTTTTCACCCTGAACTGTGTACCTCTTCAGTACAGGAAAGACTGTGCTATAACTTAAATTGCCAGGCATACCATCTAAAGGGGACAAAAAGATACAAAACATCCAGGCCATGGGAAAACCTGGGTAGCCACAGCCACTCAAGAGGGAGAGGATTTTTAGTACCAGGAAGGAAAAAAAACTGGCAGGAAATGGCAGAAATCGTACACCAAATCCAGTCATTCCTGGAGTGGAATCACAGTCGATGTCCTCCACTCCAAACCAACAGATACAGATACTAATGCCGGAACCCCCCCCCCCCCAGTACCAACAATACCACCAGTCCGATAACATTCTTCTTTGCAAATATACAGGGTCTAAAGCCAGCAACAAACAACAAAATACCTTTCATCCGTGGACTGCTTGCAGAGGCAAAGGCAATGTTTGTGGCTTTCACTGAGACCCACATAAAGGATCACTTGGACACGAAATATGGATCCCAGGTTACAACCTATACAGATGTGACAGAGTGAACAGGCAAAAGGGGGGGGTTGGCCTGTACATTGCAGAGTCACTTGTTTGCACAGAACTGCTTAATGCCTCAAATGATGTAGTGGAAGTTTTAGCAGTAAAGGTCGAGAACCAAAACCTAGTCATTGTGGTAGTCTACAAGCCTCCGGATGCAACATCCCAGCAATTCCAGGAACAGCTGTTAAAAAATTGACCACTGTCTGGAAAATCTTCCAGTTCCTGCACCCAACATCTTGCTCCTGGGGGATTTCAACTTAAGGCACCTAAAATGGAGGAATATAGCAAATAATATTGTTGCAGTAATAACACCAGGAGGCAGTTCTGATGAAAACTCACACTCACACGAGCTTTTTAAATCTCTGCCACAAATTCAATTTAAACCAGCAAATAATAGAGCCTACTAGACTGGGAATACACTAGACCTCATCTTTACTAACAATGATGATCTGATAAGAAATGTCACCATATCAAAACAATATACTCAGATCACAACATAATTGAGGTTCAGACATGTATGCGTGGAGCCCCAGACCGATATAATGAGACTAGTCACGAGGGAGCATTCACCAAATTCAACTTCAATAACAAAAACATATAGTGGGACCAAGTAAACCAAGTCCTAACCGATATAAGCTGGGAAGATATACTAAGCAACACAGACCCCAACTTATGCCTAGAACAGATTAACTCGGTGGCACTCGATGTATGCACAAGGCTTATTCCTCTAAGAAAAAGGAGGAGTAGATGTAAAATAGAAAGAGACAGGCACTCCCTTTACAGGCGACGGAAAAGAATAACAGAGCGGCTAAAAGAGGTCAATATATCTGAAATGCGTAGGGAGACACTGGTCAGAGAAATAGCAAGCATCGAACTTAAGTTAAAGAATCCTTTAGGAGTCGGGAATCGCGGGAAGAACTAAAAGCCATAAATGAAATCGAAAGAAACCCAAAGTATTTCTTCTCCTATGCCAAATCAAAATCGAGAACAACGTCCAGTATTGGGCCCCTACTTAAACAAGATGGGTCCTACACAGATGACAGCAAGGAAATGAGTGAGCTACTCAAGTCCCAATATGACTCAGTTTTTAGCAAGCTGCTAACCAGACTGAGAGTCGAAGATCAAAATGAATTTTTTATGAGAGAGCCACAAAATTTGATTAACACAAGCCTATCCGATGTTATCCTGACGCCAAATGACTTCGAACAGGCGATAAATGACATGCCCATGCACTCTGCCCCAGGGCCAGACTCATGGAACTCTGTGTTCATCAAGAACTGCAAGAAGCCCCTATCACGAGCCTTTTCCATCGTTTGGAGAGGGAGCATGGACACGGGGGTCGTCCCACAGTTACTAAAAACAACAGACATAGCCCCACTCCACAAAGGGGGCAGTAAAGCAACAGCAAAGAAACTACAGACCAATAGCACTAACATCCCATATCATAAAAATCTTTGAAAGGGTCCTAAGAAGCAAGATCACCACCCATCTAGAAACCCATCAGTTACACAACCCAGGGCAACATGGGTTTAGAACAGGTCGCTCCTGTCTGTCTCAACTATTGGATCACTACGACAAGGTCCTAAATGCACTAGAAGACAAAAAGAATGCAGATGTAATATATACAGACTTTGCAAAAGCCTTCGACAAGTGTGACCATGGCGTAATAGCGCACAAAATGCGTGCTAAAGAAATAACAGGAAAAGTCGGTCGATGGATCTATAATTTCCTCACTAACAGAACACAGAGAGTAGTCGTCAACAGAGTAAAGTCCGAGGCAGCTACGGTGAAAAGCTCTGTTCCACAAGGCACAGTACTCGCTCCCATCTTGTTCCTCATCCTCATATCCGACATAGACAAGGATGTCAGCCACAGCACCGTGTCTTCCTTTGCAGATGACACCCGAATCTGCATGACAGTGTCCTCCATTGCAGACACTGCAAGGCTCCAGGCGGACATCAACCAAATCTTTCAGTGGGCTGCAGAAAACAATATGAAGTTCAACGATGAGAAATTTCAATTACTCAGATATGGTAAACATGAGGGAAAATTAAATCTTCATCAGAGTACAAAACAAATTCTGGCCACAAAATAGAGCGAAACACCAACGTCAAAGACCTGGGAGTGATCATGTCGGAGGATCTCACCTTCAAGGACCATAACATTGTATCAATCGCATCTGCTAGAAAAATGACAGGATGGATAATGAGAACCTTCAAAACTAGGGAGGCCAAGCCCATGATGACACTCTTCAGGTCACTTGTTCTATCTAGGCTGGAATATTGCTGCACACTAACAGCACCTTTCAAGGCAGTGAAATTGCTGACCTAGAAAATGTACAGAGAACTTTCACGGCGCGCATAACGGAGATAAAACACCTCAATTACTGGGAGCGCTTGAGGTTCCTAAACCTGTATTCCCTGGAACGCAGGCGGGAGAGATACATGATTATATACACCTGGAAAATCCTAGAGGGACTAGTACCGAACTTGCACACGAAAATCACTCACTACGAAAGCAAAAGACTTGGCAGACGATGCAACATCCCCCCAATGAAAAGCAGGGGTGTCACTAGCACGTTAAGAGACCATACAATAAGTGTCAGGGGCCCGAGACTGTTCAACTGCCTCCCAGCACACATAAGGGGGATTACCAACAGACCCCTGGCAGTCTTCAAGCTGGCACTGGACAAGCACCTAAGTCAGTTCCTGATCAGCCGGGCTGTGGCTCGTACGTTGGTTTGCGTGCAGCCAGCAGCAACAGCCTGGTTGATCAGGCTCTGATCCACCAGGAGGCCTGGTCACAGACCGGGCCGCGGGGGCGTTGACCCCCGGAACTCTCTCCAGGTAAACTCCAGGTAAACATACCTTGATATACCTTATACACATGATATACCTTATATACATATACATACATCGTTCTCCTGACCAACACAAAGAAGTATTGACTGGGGAACGAAATGTACGTGTGTCTGTACCACACACCTCAACCTGCTTACCAAACCAATTCCCTGGAAGGCGAAGATACTGGAGCTGAAGTAGAGGGGAAGAGACGCCCATCCAGCAAAGGCAGGCAGATCTTCGTGGACGTGAGGCAGATCCCTCAACATATAGTACAAACAGATAGTGATGCCGGTCATCTGCACTGCGCCAGCTACCATCGACACCGGGACCAAGTACTGCGGTGCAAGGAGCATAATGAAGGTAGAGTTAGAGAGGACTCTGGGCAGTACAAAGAGCACAGTGAAGGTAGAGTTAACGAGGACTCGGGGAAGGGAGTACAGTGAAGGTAGAGTTAGCGAGGACTCTGGGTAGCAAAGGAGAGAAAGTAGAATAAAACATTACGATCTATAGCGAGAGTAACTGTCACTAGTTACCTGCAGTTTAGAAGTATAAACACACATGCAGTATAATGTAATCCTTTATTGACAACGTTTCGCCCACACAGTGGGCTTTATCAAGTCACAAACAGATCTACTTGGGTGGAAGGTAGATCTGTTTGTGACTCGATATAGCCCACTGTGTGGGCGAAACGTTGTCAATAAAGGATCACATTATACTGCACTTGTGTTTATATTTCCAGGATTCTTCGGTATTGAGTGTTGTCTTCTTTGGCGGTAAGTCTTGCGTTTCTGTAGTTGATTAAATGGTTATGTGAATTTCGGTGTTGGACACAGGCATTTCTTGGATCGTCAGATCTGTCTGTGTACTCGTGTTCTGAAATACGTTTTGGAGGTCTCTGAATGTTTCGCCCACGTATAATTTGCTGCAGTCATTACAAGGGATTATGTATACCCCTGCAGAGGATTGAAACTTGTTCTGTCTATTACTGGTAATGTCCTTGATGGTGGTGGATGTGGAGGTAGATACTTGGAATAAGGTATTGGAAAAGATGTTGGAAACGTGTTTGGCAATGGAGTTGGTGGGGAGGACTATGTATCTCTTCTCGGCAGTGTCTTCTCTGGGTGTGTTGAAGATGTTTAATGCCCGTCGTCTGCAGTTTCCGATAGAATTTAAAACGAAGTTCATTGTCAGCTTTGCAGAGAACATCATCAAGGAAAGGAAGTGTGTTATCGACTTCTTCTTCTAGTGTGAACTGGAGTGAGGGCTCGACCTGGTTGAGCTTGTGTTGGAGAGCTTGAACGTTGAAGCGTCTGGGAGTTATGATGAGAATGTCAACATAACGGAGCCAGGTGACAGAAGAGGAAATAATAGTGGAAAATCGCTCGGCTTCTAGATGTTCCATGTATAGGTTCGCCAGGACGGCACTAAGTGGCGAACCCATGGGTAGTCAGAAAGTCTGCAGGGCCCTCCTCTACTGCCATTACACTGACCCCCCTTATGAGTAAGTTTGTCCAGGTATACACAAATACAGTTACAAAGATTATACATAGCATATGTGTAGAGAACCTGGGATAACCCAAAAAAGTCAGTGACATTGCCATTGGGGTCCTTGATGCCTCCCATTCCTCAGGCACTGTATGTTCATTGAAGGTGTGTGTGTGTGTGTGTGTGTGTGTGTGTGTGTGTGTGTGTGTGTGTGTGTGTGTGTGTGTGTGTGTGTGTGTGTGTGTGTGGCTGCAAGGGGTCGAGTCTTAGCTCTTGGGTCTTCCTTTTAAATTGCGACTTATGTTAATACTGTTCTTGCTGTTGAACAGCGGTTTAGTGCCAAAGGAGTAGCGTAGGTTGCAGAGATACGGCCGTAGGCTAGTTTGGCTTTAACTGAAAAGGAGTGAGTACACAACGGGAAACGTGAGGGGATGACCGAGAGCCAGTCCGTGGAGGGAGGGTTGCTGAACCCGTGAGGGAAGGTTGTTGAACCCGTGAGGGTAGGCTATGTAGTGAGACCGGGTAGGCTCCGTGTCTCACTGACCTGGGCAGGCCTAGAGAGGGCAGCACCGTAGTGCCGTGGGATATGAAACTAGCAGACAGTACATGCTGTCTATATTCATCGTATTCACTGTGGGCCCTGTCATACTAGGTATGAAGCATACCTCTATTACTTTGTCCAGGTCATTCCACTTGCTGGGGGAGCGATATCCTGCATACAGTGACATGACTCGAACAACAGAGGTAAGGCGAAGCATAAACCTTACCTTAACTCAGAAGAATGTGTTGAGTTGATCACGGGTGATGTAGCGGTCACGTCTCCTCCATATAAGAGGCACCACAGAACAAGTCATTGTGTAATGAAGTTACATGTCGGTAGATTTTCTCTGAGAAATAACAATACCCAGAATGATGCATGTTCTCACCTTGATGTTGGGGATGTAAGATATAAGGAGGAGAGGCACGACCACCATCCCCATGTAGCCATAGATGGAGATGTTGGTACCAGCGGGAGTCATGCACTTCACTGCCTGACACGGAAACAAGAGGTACACACTTTGTCAGTAACTGATGCCACTCTGATGGTAAAATGGATTGTTAGTTGCGTTCTAAGTTAAAATTAAGAAATGAGACCTGGCTGTGGGGGTGTTGACCTCCGGAATACCTTCGTGGTAGACTATAATCTAATCTCTCTCTCTCTCTCTCTCTCTCTCTCGCTCTCTCTCTCTCTCTCTTACCATTTCTCTCTTTCTCACCTCCTGGATGTTCTGGGGTATGAAGACAAAATAGACACAACAGAATCCGAGCTGTGTAATAACAAGGAAGACGTTGATAATGTAGAAGACAGCTCTGTGACACCTTCTGCATCCTGCAGGACCCATCTTGAAGGCCATCTCTGCCGTCTCCTCGTAACTCAAGTTCTCCACCATCGACCTTCTACACAGCTCCTTCGAGCTCCTGACCTGCCAACACACAAACAGTTACTATGGTGACGGGTAAAACACACGTGCATTACATATATTTTTATTCCGAAACGTTTTGTCTGCACAGTAAGCTTCTTCAGTCGAATTTAAAACATCCGCTGGTCTACCCAACTAGGTTTTACACCCCACTTAAAAATTTTTAGATCTCTATATTGTAATGTATCATATCCTTACTGGTATTCTAAAGACAAAGAGAACTTCTGGGAAAGCAATAAATGTTTGTCCTACTGGGAATATTGGGAGGAGTTGAGGTGCATAATGCAGATGGTATGGTGGGATGGGAGCTGTGCTGGATATCACTGTCACCTCTGTTGGCCTAGGACTGAAGTGCCAGCTGCTGCTTGGTACTCATGCCCTCAGATGCCAAGGGCAAGTTTAGTTCACTAAACACCTTGCTAGCCTGAGACTCCAGGTTTGTCTGATGTGCTAGAGAAGGCAACAAACATCTTCATCAGTGTGTGTGGTCAGTTGCCAGGGACATCATGGAGTCTGCCCACTTCATACTCTTCACAAATAAGAATAATTCCAAAGGCCTTGCCTCCAGCAACCTGTTCCTGCAGGTGTTGTGGGTCCTTCTGCAGCTCATGCTGTGAAAAGTAACAGATCAGTAACCCCCGCCTCCTGAGTCTGCTAACATCATTCACTGAGGATGGAAGATCCCTCATGATGCCCCGACTCCTGTCATTGCAGAGAGTGACCCAGTTCCACCAGAAATGACTGGCGTGATTCACTGTCAGTGTAAGACTCGGGGCAAGAAGTGCATCACTGTGTGTTGTGGCTGTCTCATTGAACATGTTTCGTGCACCTCATACCACAACTGTTCTAGTGAAGACAGCTGCTGCAGTCCGTCTCAGTCTGGAGACTAGGAGAATGTCGAGATAAAGGATGCTGAACAGGATGAGGAGAAGAGTTCAAATGAGAAGAGTAAAAGCTATGAGGATGTTGAGGATTGTCTTGTTGGTTGTGATGATCTGACTACTGACTGTACTTAAGTCAAAGGTCATCATTAAATATCAAAACAGCTTCTGTTAATAGCCTTCCATTGCATAAGATATTACACTGTATTTCACATACAACTCATTATCATAACTCAAACAAATATGTAAAACATCGTATGTGAATTTATTCCTTTTCAAGAATAAAATAAATTAGTATTTAATAGAATTTTCAATTAACTTTCCACCGAGAGGTTAAATTTGACCCTAAACTGACCTCTAGCACCTGACCTTGATCCTGAATTAATGTAGATTCTACACATTTTAGAAAAACTGGTTCAAAAGTTAAATCTGTGACATGGTGACCAGCGACCATCTTGAGTTTATGCAAAAATACCAAAGTTGCCAAAAAAAAAAAAAAATAAAGTTGGAACAACCAAACCTAAGTTGCTGATTAAGGCATGCAAAGAGTACGTTACAATTTATTTTGCGTATGTCACACTCCCATATAGGCTGCCTCCCAACCAGTGAACCAGGTGCTAAGAGTTTAACGATCAAGAGGGCACCCATCGTTAAATCAGTACCTTGATTCATTGACCAATTACAGGAAACCCCGCTAAAGCTGTAGCAACGTGGTTCACTTGTGGTAAGCATTAACAGAATTGCCTAGCTGTTGGCTGAGCACGGTGCACTCTCTCTGGCTTCTGCTTTGCCATCTGTCAATGTGGTGCACACTTGCTATTCCATCTGTACAATTGTACCTAGTGTACATGAATATATCATCTCGTGAAGGCAACTATGCACTATATTCTGTTGAGTTTTGTTTGCACCATATTCCCTTTACAACCAGGTCTCGCAGGTCATTCTTTACCTTTTTTTTTTTTAACACATCGGCCGATTCCCACCAAGGCAGGGTGGCCCAAAAAAGAAAAACTTTCATCATTCACTCCACTGTCTTGCCAGAGGGGTGCTTTACACTACAGTTATAAAATTGCAACATTAACACCCCTCCTTCAGAGTGCAGGCACTGTACTTCCCATCTCCAGGACTCAAGTCCGGCCTGCCGGTTTCCCTGAATTCCTTCATAAATGTTACTTTGCTCACACTCCAACAGCACGTCAAGCATCAAAAACCATTTGTCTCCGTTCACTCCTGTCAAATACGCCCACGCATGCTTGCGGGAACTCCAAGCCCCTCGCACACAAAACTTCCTTTACCCCCTCCCTCCAACCTTTCCTAGGCCGACCCCTACCTCGCCTCTCCTCCACTACAGATTTATACACTCTCGAAGTCATTCTGTTTTGTTCCCTTCTCTCTACATGTCCGAACCACCTCAACAACCCCTCCTCAGCCCTCTGGATAATAGTTTTGGTAATCCCACACCTTCCCCTAATTTCCAAACTACGAATTCTCTGCATTATATTCACACCACATATTGCCCTCAGACATGACATCTCCACTGCCTCCAGCTGCCTCCTCGTTGCAACATTTATCACCCATGCTTCACACCCATACAAGAGTGTTGGTACAACTATACTCTCATACATTCCCCTCTTTGCTTTCATAGATAAAGTTCTTTGTCTCCACAGACTCCTAAGTGCACCACTCACCCTTTTCCCCTCATCAACTCTATGATTCACCTCATTCTTCATAGACCCATCTGCTGACACGTCAACTCCCAAATATCTGAATATATTCACCTCCTCCATACTCTCCCCCTCCAATCTGATATCCAATATTTCATCACCTAATCTTTTTGTCATCCTCACAATCTTACTCTTTCCTATATTCACTTTTAATTTTCTTCTTTTACATACCCTAGCAAATTCATCCACCAACCTCTGCAACTTCTCTTCAGAATTTCCCAAAAGCACAGTATCATCAGCAAAGAGCAACTGTGACAACTTCCACTTTGTGTTTGATTCTTTATCTTTTAACTCAACGCCTCTTGCCAAGACCCTCGCATTCACTTCTCTTACAACCCCACCTATAAATATATTGAACAACCATTGTGACATCACACATCCTTGTCTAAGGCCTACTTTTACTGGGAAGTAATCTTCCTGTCTCCTACATACTCTAATCTGAGCCTCACTATCCGCATAAAAACTCTTCACTGCTTTCAGTAACTTAGCTCCTATACCATACATCTGCAACATCTGCCACATTGCCCCCCTGTCCACACTGTCAAATCCATAAATGCCACAAAAACCTCTTTACCTTTAAATACTGTTCACCTACATGTTTCACTGTAAACACTTGGTCTACACACCCCGTACCTTTCCTAAAGCCTCCTTGTTCATCTATCCTACTCTCCGTTTTACTCTCAATTCTTTCAATAATAACTACCACACACTTTACCATGTATACTCAACAGATTTATTCCCCTATAATTTTTGCACTCTCCTTTGTCCCCTTTGCCTTCATACAAAGGAACTATGCATGCTCTCTGCCAATCCCTAGGTACCTTAACCTCTTCCATACATTTATTAAATAATAGCACCAACCACTCCAAAACTATATCCCCACCTGCTTTTAACATTTCTACCTTTATCCCATCAATCCCAGTTGCTTTACCCCTTTTCATTCTACCCACTGCCTCATGAACTTCCCCCACACTCACAACTGGCTCTTCCTCACTCCTACAAGATGTTATTCCTCCTTGCCCTATACACGAAATCACAGCTTCCCTATCTTCATCAACATTTAACATTCGAGTAGCTCACTCATTTCATTGCTGTCATCTGTGTAGGACCCATCTTGTTTAAGTAGGGGCCCAATACTTGATGGCGTTCTCGACTTTGATTTGGCATAAGAAAAGAAATACTTTAGGTTTCTTTCGATTTCATTTATAGCTTTTAGTTCTTCCCGCGATTCCTGACTCCTATAAGATTCCTTTAGCTTTAGTTCGATGCTTGCTATTTCTCTGACCAGTGACTCCCTACGCATTTCAGATATAATGGCCTCTTTTAACTGCTCCGTTATTCTTTCCCATCGCCTGTAAAGGGAGCGCCTGTCTCTTTCTATTTTATATCTACTCCTCCTTTTTCTTAAAGGGATAAGCCTTGAGCATACATCGAGTGCCACCGAGTTAATCTGCTCTAGGCATAAGTTGGGGTCTGTGTTGCTTAGTCTATTTTCCCAGCTTATATCGTTTAGGACTTGATTTGCTTGGTCCCACTTTATGTTCTTGTTATTGAAGTTGAATTTGGTGAATGCTCCCTCGTGACTAATCTCATTTTGTCGGTCTGGGGCTCCGCGCATACATGTCTGAACCTCGATTATGTTGTGATCTGAGTATATTGTTTTTGATATGGTGACATTTCGTATCAGATCATCATTGTTAGTGAAGATGAAGTCCAGTGTATTCTCCAGTCTAGTAGGCTCTATTATTTGCTGGTTTAAGTTGAATTTTGTGCAGAGATTTAAAAGCTCGTGTGTGAGTTTTCGTCAGTGCTGCCTCCTGGTGTTATCACTGCAAAAACATTATTTGCTATATTCCTCCATTTTAGGTGCCTCAGGTTGAAGTCCCCCAGGAGCAAGATGTTCGGGGGCAGGAGCTGGCAGATTTTCCAGACAGTGGTCAATTTTTGACAGTTGTTCCTGAAATTGCTGGGACGTTGCATCCGGAAAATTGTAGACCACCGCAATGACTAGGTTTTGGTTCTCGATCTTTACTGCTAAAACTTCCACTACATCATTTGAGGCATTAAGCAGTTCTGTTCAAACAAGTGACTCTGCGATATACAGGCCAACCCCCCCTCCCTTTGCCTGTTCACTTTGTCACATCTGTATAGGTTGTAACCTGGGATCCATATTCGTAGTCCAAGTGATCCTTTTTGTGGGTCTCTGTGAAAGCCGCGAACATTGCATTTGCCTCTGCAAGCAGTCCACGGATGAAAGGTATTTTGTTGTTCGTTGCTGGATTTAGACCCTGTATATTTGCAAAGAAGAATGTCATCGGACTTGTGGTATTGGTGGTACTGGGAGAAACTTTTTTTTCCGGCACTAGTATCTGTATCTGTTGGTTTGGAGTGGAGGCCA